TTTGGTTTTGCCTGTATGAATTTTTCATTCTTGGGAAGATGGAATCTGGGTAAAGTTTTTGACTTTACAATCATTCTGTGTTTAATGATTTATTTGATGGGTTTGGGATATTTCTATTGAGATTTTGGTGAAAAGAGAAGTCCTAATTATCTTGATCGTGGGGATCTCGAAAGGGGTTTGAGACCCTTGAAGTGAGAATCCATGTAGTTATAATTATAGTTCTAATGTTCTCCCACTTGAAAGAGTTCTCCAAATGTTGGCTTCTTGGTGCAAAATTCTATCATGGAGAAGTATCCTATTACATAGGGAATTCTGAGTTCATTATTCCGAAGTTACTAATTGAGCGGACCTGCTTCCAAGGGTCTTCTATGTGGTCTGTTCGATACCTTAGGTTTGCACGGTAGCAAAAGGGAAAGGATCCCTAATAGATTTAGCCTTTTCAATGATATTCTTCGCTCAAATGGTTAGAAACAGAAAGCAGTTCTGAATCTTCTGATAATTTTACATCTTCAGAGGCCGTATTAATGTCTATACATACTTTTGTGTTCTGAAGATAAATATCAATGCCAACTGCTATAGACTACAAGATTTTAGCATATCATTCTTTTTCTCTTCCTTTTTTTTACCTGGAGAAATTTTTGTCTGAAGTGTACATCAAGTTTTACTGAGGATGATTCGATGTTACTTTATTTTCTTCATAGTCCTTATGTTATCTCAATGAATAAAAATTGCAAGACATCCTTGGTTTTTATCCAAATTATGTATGTCGAACAGAGTCAACATTATTTTCTTAACAATATTATTTGTTTCCCAAAAAGGTTGATTCAGCGAATTCTAAATGTAAAGAAAGCTGCGCGCAAGCTAGCTTTTCTTTGTTTTCCCCCAAAAGATTCTATCTCATGAAGCATAACTAACCTTTACAAGGACTGAATTTGCTCCATTTCTGTCTAGCCCACAAACTTGTATTCTTAATTGAATATTCATTGTGGATCCACTATACGGGCATATGATGCCCAGACAGAAGAGTTTGACCCATTATATTGCTTTGACATGTCAAATCTTTTATTGTTGCGAGAAATTTGTTTTGTATACAATTGTTTTTAATACAATTGCAAAGACTTGAAATAGAAGTTTGCCAGATGCAAACGGTAGATCCCTTGACAAAGTTTTCATGCCTTTCCATGCATGTTGTGTGCAGAGGGGTAATCAAATCTTAAATTTATATGTGTATATAAGATAGCTTTTTCATGTTTGTACATCTTCTTTCACCTTTGAATTATCATAATATAGTGACTGTTTGTGGAAATTCTGATTTATTTATTGTCAAAAAATAGTTTGCGGCACGAAACATTTGGAGAAACCATTTTTATGGTTGGATGATGAAAGACTTTTCAATCTGTGGCTAAAATATATAGGGGGTGTTTGGTGGGGATTAAAATTAGATTTTTAGTAAATTGCTATAAAAGTTTTTGAAATGTGTGGTTGAAAAGTTGTGGGACCATAAAAGATATGATTAATATTGATTGTTTGACTTTGATTTAAATTAAAATCCGATTTTAATTTGAAACAAACAGGGCAATAATAAGGAATTCATGATGATGAAAGTTCGGCCTCTGTTTTTTTTTAGCCTCCAGTGAAAGAGGTAGTCCGACCCTCCAATAGGGTGCCGCCATGTGGCCATGTAGTAACCCATGTAGTAAGATAGGAAGTACATGTAGCATCTTCCATGTATGTAATTGCGAAAGGAAATACACAATCTCTTTGACCAGCAGCACCTCATGCAGCCAGTTCGACTTGCCTAGGTTACCTTCTCCATTTGCAAGCTTGGTTTGATCTGATTCGACCTTATGGGGGAAAATGTTTGGGATGTAAAATTAATTACAGGGAAAAAATGTGCGGGACGTAAAATGAAGTACATAAATTGTACAGTAGCTTTATAGTTTGTTTCTAAATTTTAAGGTTTAGAGTGGTAAGGTGTCGCTTGAATGTAATGATGCTGCTTAATTGAGGCTTGGAACTTCATTTTGGTCATTCCATCTTTGGGCTGTCACATGATGAAAATTCCTCCTTTTGTTTTCTATTCTTCTTCTTCTTCTTTTTTTTTTTGCTATTTGAATTTCTAGAGCTTGCTTGTTTTAAATATTTTCAGGTTGTCATTTCTTTTATTTCATCTCCCATACACACCAAGTACAACGCACGTGTTCTTAACTAGTAAAGCTGAAGCATCTCCTTGCCCAATTTAAACCACAGAGAAAGCGAACCCCATATACACATATAAAAGAGGAATGGCCGGAAAAATAAGCAACACAGCGGCAACATACACGCCTTCACCGACGAGTCAGAACAAAAGGCGGACCTCCATTTTCACAGGCTCCGATTGGATCCGCCCGGACAGCCGTGGCCTCCACCAGTGCCGCCCTGCATGTACATATTGTCTATATTTTAAAATTTTATGTACATACATGTAGATAAAGTTTCATTATACATGGTGATAATGTTTTAAATTTAATTGCATTGGTGAATTTGGAATCGATTTTATTCCTCCTAAAATACAGCATTTGAAATTCAAGCCTTTTTGTTGAATTATTGAATGCTTGGCTTATCTGCTTTGTAGTTCACAGTGACGTGCCATTGAGTGAGCTTTATGAATTATTTCTGTTGATTGTTATTAAAAAAAATAAAATTGTTAGTCTTATATTCAACAGAGTATTATTAGATAACCTTAGAGAGATTTTAAAGACAATAAGCATTCTTTCATTAAACAATATGAAAATATAAAGAGAATATACACACAGAACCTAAAATATCCTAAAGGAAGAAACAAGAAAAAATAAATTTATGAATATTAAACATTAATATCTGATACCTCAGTCAAAATCACGATGCTAGAGTATTTAGTTACAAATTGACTAGGTAGATGTTTTCAAGCATGTGGATAGTTTTCCGTTTTCACTTTGATGTTTATGTTCTTGAATCTCTATTTATTAACCGGTTCATTAACTGTTGATCCCTTTGATGCAAATTATATGGCATGTTTAACTTCTCGAACTTCTTTTTGGAACAACATATTAATAGTATATGATTGAAAATGTCCTCTCTCTTCGTGGATGTTGCTTCTTGTCTGTGTCTTATGTTCTAGTCCTCAATAGCTTTACTGCTTAGGATGGTCACTAAGTATCTTAATTGGTGTGAAAAGGAAAATAGAAGGTATCAAAGTGAAAGGGGCGTGCTTTTGTACACCCATACATCCTCTTACTAAAATCATGAGATTTGGATCACATTTTTCAAATAATTTGTTCAGATCACCCTTCCAAGGATGTAAGTACTAATACATTATCTTTCAACTGCTATTAATAGAAGATTCTTTTGTATATGCGGTACTCATATGAAAGCGGTTTTCCTTTCTCAATACACACATTATGACTCAGGTCCTACTTTCTTTCTGATTTTAGCCTCAAATTGTATAACCGTATATTATTTTTGGTTTGGTGGTTGACACATTGTGAATTATAATGCAATTATATTGGCTTTGGTTTAGTGGTTGATTTTATCTGTTCATCTTGTTTCAACTGCTATTGGTAGATGATTCTTTTGTGTTTTTTGGCATATCTGGTACTCATGAAGGGGGTTTCCTTTCTCAATACATAAGTTTAGAACTTGTTTCTACTTGTTGATTTAGCCTTAAAATTTGTTGCTGCATATTACTTTTGTCTGGTGGTTGACAACTTGTGAAATTATCGTGCTATTATTGTCAATTTGGAACATGAAATATCCAAAACTCCCATCTTAAAGGAGAACTTTTCTTTGATTCAGGCATGCTCATGACATAACACTTGCATATTTCCCCATGTTTTGTTTTACCGTGAGAGCTTAACTTGTTCTCTGATGCTCGGACTCTTCGAAATAGTCGGAGTAACACGACGTGGGTATGTGTATGGGATATGTGTCGGATCCTCCAAGTTTCAATCGGATACTTCGTAGTTTTTACTTCTTTTTTTTTTCTTTTTTTTTCTTTCCCTTTTCTTCTTTCCCATTTTTGCTCTCTATAAACCTAGTGTCGCAGCCGAGAGGGTGGAGAAAGGTGGCGGCGCTAGGTTTTCCCTTCATTTCTTTTTCTTCTTCTTCTTCTTCTTCTTTCTTTTTTCTTTCCATTTTTTTCTTTTTTCTCTTTTTCCTTTTTTCTCTCTTTGTATCAGTGATTTAAGGTTTTATTTGTATAAAATGAAATGGGTTCAATATAGTGCTACTAGCGCTCCACTAAATCAAAATTGCAATCAAATCCTTCATTTTTTATTTTATATGACATTTAGTAATTCTCATAATTGAAAACTGAACTTTAAAATTCTATTTTATTCGTTTTAACCCCTTATTCAATATATGTTTCCTTTTTTGTGAGTAATTGATTTTGGTTTATTCAAAATGATATCTCGGATTAATAAAAAAATTAAAGTTTGAAAAACTTACCCATGTACCCGTGTCCGAAATTTGGACTCTTTTTAGCCATGTTCCCTTATCCTACATTTTAGAAAATAAAAAATCCGACACTTAAATATGTACGTGTACCCGAGTCCGAGTATCATAGAAATTGTTTTCCATCATGCAAAATTCTTTTCTTTCGGAGCTTGTTCTAAACTTTTCGTTTCTCTCTCTCTCTCTTTTATTTTTTTTATCAATATTAAGATTAGATTCCTAGTACATGTAGGTTCTGGGTGAATTAATATTTTGAACACTAAGCATGCTCATATATGGGCATAATATTTGGATGGAAGTCTAGTGATTACTTTATTGTGGATTTTTTCTGAACTATGGGGCATACTTGTCTTAAATTATTGTGAGATTTGGAGACTGCTACTAAGAACGCCTCTGAGAAGCTAGGACTCTCCTGTACAGTTAGTGCAACGAGTGAAATTCAGAAAGTACACAAATTTACAAGGAGTTAATAGGCTATTATTTAAGTTACCAATAATATCATTCAACAAGTTTAGATTTAAGATATTGTTGTCATATTTTATTTCCCCTTTAATGGCACGACTGTCAGGGAATTCTGGACTGAAATTCTTGCTGTCCTCTTGTATTATAATTTTTTTATTCCTTCTGTTTTCCTCGGCATGTATGTGAACATACATGTCATTCTACTATGACCTAAACTTCTTATATAGTCATCTTTTCAGGTGTTTAACATTCTGAGCTGCCTGAAATATGGTGCAAACAATGACGACTTGCAACTGAGATGAACTTTTTCTTTTGCAACTTCTAATTGCTTGATGTCTGTGTGTCTTGCAATAGTCAAATTGTTACATATTTTCTTCAATTTTTGTGGACTCACGAGTTTGGACATTTGGGATGTTTGAAAATTCAACTTTTCTGGTCTTTTTGTGACCTTAAATACATGCATGTTTAATGTCTTAGATAAAGTGACACATGACTGTATCTATCGGAATGTTTGAAAATCCAGATCCATGTGTTATTTTAAATTGAAATTCAGATGCAGAACTTGGAACGTGAGGCTAAATTCAGACTTTGGTATTTAGCTTTAGGACTTGTTCATTTTTTTTTCTCTCTCGACTATCATCTTGTAATCTATATAATTTTTTAAGTTTGTTTATGCTTTCAGTGTCTTTTATTCTCTGTTTTGGTTTTTTTCTTTTGAGTGCACTTATTTCTATAGATTTGCTTTAATTTCGGGATATGTTTGAACATTAGAAAGAGCTTTTAATGCCTAATCTGTAATTGTTGTGCTGATATTTTACTTGCTGCTTAAATCAAAGATGCAACAATATTTTTCGTGTGTCTTCATGATGTTTCCTAACATACCCCATCTGTGTTTGAGGGAAATCCTCTGTGTGTTCAGAAAAACTTACTTGCTTTGCAAATAGCTGGCTTCGGGGATTACACCTTTTTTGATCTGTAGACTTCTTGTCCTCAAAAATAGATATCTTTGGTAGCTTAAAATTTTTATTCTACATGATGGGGCAAATATATATAATATGGGCTCTTGGACGTTGGAATAGTCTATATTTAGAATTTAGTTTCGTCATTTTTTATTTTTTTTTTTGTTTGAAAACAACTAGATTTAGTGAGATTGGGAAAATAAAATGGAGATATTTTTAGTTTTTGAATTGCCATTTAATGGCCTCTAAATTTCAATTCATTTCCTTAAGTACGTGTTATATGCGTTTGACTTCACTCTATGGGTACTAGCCTATTTCAAAATTATGATGTTTTTCATGTTGTATTTCTTAGTTAAACATGTTTCCATGAAGTTTATATTATCGGATAGATTACTATTCACAGACCAGTAATTAGTCTATTTTAATGGTACTTAATATTTCTTTTTTTTCAATTGTTCATTCCATGTTTAAGCATTTTCCTGTCTTCTGTGACAGCATGTGGCTCTATTAAATGTGTATTTGTTTCGTTTAGAGTTTATTTTACATAATATCCTGGAATTTGGACTAATCAAAGCACATTTTTGTTTGAGGCTTGCAGTTCTAAGAACTGGTGCAGTGAATTCTGCTTCAGGATCTGCTTATGCAGAGTTTGGAAATACCAAGGTCATTGTATCCGTGTGAGTATATTCTAAATATGATAGACTATTTTATTGCAATGTTTTGAGTTCTGCATGCTTCCACGACATATTATTTTTGATGAAAATTAATGGTATTTATCAATCTTCCACATTTTGTATCTGATTTTGGCTCAAATCAGTTTTGAAATGTATGTCTGTGTAACTAAAAAGATGAGAATGCATAACGAAAAGAGCAAGTAGAATCCATGATGTCATCCCTAAGCTTTACATATGATTTAATATGGTACAGTGCATCATGTCACAATATTACAGGTATTCTAGATGTTTATCTCATTGTTCCATGTATAATTCATTTGCCACAGGAGTATTTCTAAATTTTTCCATTGATTTTATTAAGATTTGGGCCACGAGAAAGTAAGAAAGCAATGATGTACAGCGACATAGGCAGACTGAATTGTAATGTCAGTTATACAAGTTTTGCTGCTCCTATTCGTGGGCAGGTACATGAGAGCTTTGATCCCT